GTAGTGACGAAATCTAAGAGAAAACTAGTAAACTTTTAGTAAGTGCAATCGGTAGCGTATACTACAGCACATATATATTCGGTGACAAGTAAATTCTCACAAAGCTTTACTATCAGAACATGTTAAAGTGTAGAGGAAATGTTCCAAACCACTTATCACTTTTCCAATTTGTTCCTTATTCTACTAGACGCTGTGATGATTGATTTGGTAATGCATATTTTCATGTAGATAGGAACTGAATTTGTGCAGAGATGGAGTTTGGGTCACCCTCAAGGATGCTAAGGGGTACACTTGGCTCTGCTCGGGGATCACTCCTGGTAGTGCGCTGGGTCGGGTCCATACGTGGTACCAGGAGCTGCACTGAAATTGGCCCATGCAAGGCAAGTGCCCTACCCACTGCACTATCTTTCTGGCCCTGAGCTGCTTCTTTTTTTAGAAAATTCTGTGTCATGGAGTGGTTTCATCATTCAGATTGAAAGTAATTTATTTTTATAATGAAGCACATAAAAATGATGCTTGTACATGTTTAAATAGACAAATGACGTTTTCGGTTCATAGTGGTATTGATTGTTTTAAGGCATTAAATGATTTGATAGTTATAGTTAGTGTTCTCTTATGTTTGTTGCTCAGATATGCTCTTTTTTCCCTAATGCTTTTCATATTGAAAAGCAAAAAAAGAATTCATATAAGGAGGACAATCTAAAGAAATAATGAGACACTGGAGGGCACGGTATGGGTGTCAGTTTAAAGAAACCTTGGAAAAAAGCTGTAAGATGTTTCTTTGCCTATCAAATTTCTGCTTATTTCTAACTTTCTTGCTGCTGAATATTCTGTTTAAGCAACTTTTTCTTGTTTCGGAATGTTGGTAAGAGTCTATAAATAGAACATTTGACTACTGGAATCAGTTCACATCAGATTTACTCTTTCAAAATAACAGCAGTGTGGAGCACCGACCTTGTGCCACTAAAATATAGGGCATCAAATTACAAGCTTCTGGAATTCCATTTTAAAGTACTCTTTTGTTAGCATTCTTTGAATGGGTTTAAATACTTTAAATTACTTTAGTTAGACAAGGGGGGTGAATTAGACCGCTTCCCCTCTAAATTTCTTCACTTGTAGGTTTACATAACACTTTACAATGATTGAAAAAATACATTTTGTGGTTGGACTATTTTCTAAAGAATCCATTACATCCACGTCATGTGTGTGCTTTGGGGATTTGACAGCAGTGGGGCTTGTTATCACAGCTGCTTTAGCTTTATTACAAGACATTTAAAACTCACATTTGAAAACAGTGAAAATATTTGTCATTTCTTTGTATGTTTTTTGACAAGCAAAACTATGACCCACCTTGATAGCTGTATTTCTCAGGGCTTTCTGCTAGCCCTCTGCCAGCGTTCTCATTGTTCCTTGCATAATTTAAGAATTTCCTGGCCACTTGCCTTTGCTTTGACTGCTTCTTCTCTTTGGAAGAACCTTAACCTTTGTCAAATCTGACTCCTCTGAAAGGGCTGTATTATTAACAAAAGAAAAAAAGAGGGATGATTTCTCTTTTCATTGGAGTTGAAGTAATTTTGCTGAAATTACCCGCTTTAGATTCTCTTTCTCAGTTTTCTCACTTTTCTCCCCTGACTGGGGATCCCAGATCTTGAAGCTGTCAGGATCATCTTGGTACACGTGACAGGACCGGGACTCGAACTTGCAACCTCACCCCTACCCGGTATTTCCTTGAACCATGATGAAGCCATCTTATGGACTCCCGCATTATCTTTGTTTTTCTAGCTTACCTAGTAGTATCTGGCTTGTATTTATTTGTGGACATATTTTATCTTATCCAATAATACAAAAGACTCTGAACAAAAGACTGCAATGGTGGAAAGAATTTGTTTAAAATATGTGTAGTGGGCTGGAGAGAAGATGCTTAGGGTTAGAACACATGTGTTGTATGTGGGAGCCTCAACACTGCACGGTCCCCCAAGCACCGCTACATGTGCCAACATAAATAAAATTATGCACAATGCTTAAAATAATGGTTTAACTTCGGTTTCAACAAAAACAAGCAGAGAAATACTTTTTGTATGAAACAGCATGTTCTTTTCTGGCTGAGCAAGTACTGTCAATGCGGCAGATGAAGACAAAAGCACTCTGACTCTGTTTCAACAGAGATCCCCAAACTTACACATTCAGATGGTAACGATATACCAGAACTTATAATCTGTCCTCAAATAAGGCTGACAGAGGTAGACAGAGGAGTTAGAATCCCAGCCTTCTACCTTAGGTTCAGGATTGAATGCTGGGAAACTACAGAAAAGCCAATAAAAGAATCAGTTAAAACAGCAGGGTGGTAATTGGTGCTATAGGTATTTTTTTTTTTCAGTTTAACCCTTTTGTTTTATTGGTGTTTTATAAGGTGACATAGAGAGTGACAGAAGCAGTGATATAGTTCCCCAAATACCAAACACCTCAGCTTCCTTTGAACACTAAGAGTGACAGATCAATTCCCTTCTCCCTCCCAGGGTACCACTGATGCCCATCCACCCCTACCCCATTCCCCAGTTTCCCCAGTTCAGAAACAACTGGGGAACAACTAGGTCATCACCTTTGGGTCCTGAAAGGGACCCATTGACACGACTCTGCATCTAAAGCAAACAATGTCTACTGAAAAAAAAGGAAAGGAAAGATGGAAAAGATGTCCAGAGAGTGTAGGAAAATTGATTTCAACCACCCTCTTGACCTCCGCAACAAGGCTAATAAAAACTACAGCTGGAAGTTACCAGACGTCCCCTCTGAGGAAGGGGGGGACAAGCCAGGCACTGCTAGGAGTCTCTATGACAGGGGCCCCATGGCAGGAAGCAGCCAGCAGATCAGGATGGGTCCAAGCCCCGAGGACAGTATTTGCCAGGATGCTTCCAAGAAGAAGCACCTGGAAGAGAGGACTGAGAAGGGACAGCCCATCTTAATTTGGAGTAAACCCGGGCTTAGTCCTTCTCTAAACTCACTGTCTTAGTAATCTCATTAAGTCCCCAAATTCTCAAAGGATTTAATGATTTCCCAAAGAATTTAGGATTGCTGATCATAGTATTAAAAGCAGCAAGATCAAAAAAAAGGAACTTCCATGCAAAGGAAAGTCCGTAAGATTCTCAGCAGATCTATCGGAGACTCTGTGAGCCCGAAGAGAAGGTGAGATACAGTGAAGGAACAATAAAAACAGCTCAGCAAAACGAACGCATCTAAATGAATAATCTCTCCAGCTGGATTATCATTCAGATCTGAAGGGAAGTAGACAAAACTTCATAGACAGGCAACAGTTTAGGGAATTCATAACCTTAAAACCAGTTTGGCAAGACGCATTAAAGGAGCTTCTTTCAAAGGCAAGAAGGGCTTCCCTGCGCTTTGCAGTTTCCTTTGAATGTGGTCCTGACTCATGGTGCTGACGGATGCCCTCTGCTAGAGAAAGAAAAAATCTGTTTGTTCCTAGCTTGCCAAGGGATTTCATTTTTCAATAGTGAATTAAAGTTTCATTCATACTGAATGTTCTGTGTCTTCTGTAAAAAATTTTTATTGCAATCTTACTTATTAATGCAGTTACCTAAGCATTGTCTAGAATGTAGTATTTTCTAACACAAAGCCCATATTCCCTTCTTAGGATAAAAGCTCTTTCAAAAAAAATATTTGAAACTTTATTTAAATGCCATGGTTTCAGTTGCTCTCCACACTCTCAGACAAGTCTCACCTATGAGTGAATGTATTCCTGGACCACACCACATCTCATACTTTTCACCACTGATATACCAAGAGTAATGCACCACATCTGATGGGGCTTAATGTAGAAGGCAGCCAATCTCAGGGGGAAATATGTTTATATAGATAATGATATAAGCACACAAGCTCAACCTTTAATGTTACTAATCTCTTATAGAAGGACTTAATGGTTCTTGGGGTAAAATACAAGCGATCTTCACGATCTTCTAAGAAACCTTTTTTGGGGGAGATTATTTTTAATGGATCATTCATAACAATACAAAATAAATTATTTCGGTTCTGCTTGGGGGGGCGGCAGGGTTTGGGATGGAAATATCCGAAATATGGTGGTGGGAAGGTATCATGGTGGTGGGGTTGGTGTTCAAATATTAAATGTAATCAAATATTGTGGACAACTTAATGAAAATGCCCCATAACATGTTGCTAATCTCTTATAGAAGGGCTTAATGGTTCTTGGGGTGAAATACAGCGATCTTCATGATCTAAGAAACATTTTTGGGGAGATTATTTTTAATGGATTATTCATAACAAATAATACAAAATAAATTATTTCGGTTCCGCTTGTGGGGGGGGCAGGGTTTGGGGTTTTGGATGGAAATATTCGAAATAATGGTGGCTGAAAGGTGTCATGGTGGTGGGGTTGCTGTTCAGATATTAAATGTAATCAAATATTGTGGACAACTTTCTGAAAATAAAATGAAATTTAAGAATAAATCAAAACACCGTGGCTTACAACGTTGTTCGTCATAACAGTCGTTTCCAGTATTCAGTTCTAACACAAACCCACCACCCGTGTGACCTTCTCTCCACCAGTGTCCCCTCCCCCAGAGCTTGTCCCCTGAGCAGGCTCAGAGTAATTTACTTTAGATTGCTTGTCACAACAGGTTTCTCATAATGGTTAAAACACCCTTTTAGACTTGGAAAGAACTGCTGAAGGCAGTGTGCCGTTGACACAAGTGTTTCACTGTGATCAAGTACTTGGGCCATGGTTGACCTGTTTCTAGTCTCTGAGGCTGCTCATGTAAGTTTGGAAAGAGTCAGTCAGCCAAGACGCTGCCATTGACCATAAGCTGGCAGCGATGGAAACGTGATGCTCGGCCCGTTTGTGTAGCGTGTTGATTTGGTGGACGTGACCGTACCTTAACGTTCCTCTCTGAGGAGGTCGGGATATTCATTTCTGTGCCCCCCAGCCCCTCCGGTGATGAGTTAAGCAGTGTTTTCCTCTTCTTCCCGACCAGTCAGCATAGCTGATCCCGCCGCCCTGGGCTTCATCATCTCCCCCTGGTCCCTGCTGCTGCTGCCGTCTGGCAGTGTGTCGTTCACCGATGAGAACATCGCGGGTCAGGATCTGCGCGCCTTCACCGCACCCGAGGTTCTGCAGAATCAGTCACTGACTTCCCTCTCGGACGTTGAGAAGGTAACGACTGAGCCCTTCTGCTTGATCTTGTTTTTCATTCTAGTGACAGGAGGACAAGTAAAGACTATTCCTCGACCCTTTGAGTAAGAGAGTTTGAATTTGAAATGGTAATATGTATGAAGAAGTTCATGTTTACTTTTTGTTTTCAAAATTCAAATATTCAGATAGAATTTTTGGGAGGGGAAGAGGCGTTGTTTGGGGGCCACACCTGGAGATGCTCAGGGGTCACTCCTGGCTCTGCTCTTAGGAGTCACTCTGGCAAGTACTCAGGGGACCATATGGGATGCCAGGGGTGGAACCTGGGACCGATGCATGTAAGGTGAGTGCCCTGCCTGCCGTTTCATCTCTCTGGCCCCAAGAATTCAAATGGTTTTATAAAAGAACTATGGATGTAGGGCTGGAGAAATGCACCATTGGCTGGTGCACATGCCTTGTATGCAGGAAGACCAGGTTTGGTTCCCAGTACTGCACAGTCCCTGAGCATTACCAAGAACATCCCCTGAGCAGAGCAAGGAGAAACCCCTGAGCACTGCCATGTGTGATTCCAACACTAAAATAAGTAAGTGTGTGGGTCCAAGAAGAAAACCTGAGAAAATGTTCATAAATCTTTATTAAATATCTGCTGTGTGTTTTAAACTCCATCGGTGAGGAAGATACAAAAGTAAACAAAATTGATCTTGATCAACACGTATAGAACAATCTTTGATATATGGCAGAATGAAGTAAATGCTATATAAATATTAAGTAGCTGAGGTGTCTATAAGAGGAGCATTGAAGTTTTAGTGTAAAAAAATCATTACAGAAAAAAGGTAACATTTGGGCTACGAAGAGTAAGTAGAATTATAGAAAGAGTAGGATGGGGCATTGCACCCAGAATTATTAGAACTGTTAAACCGGGCCGAGATCTCCCCAGAGGAATCACGCTAAGACAATTGCAACGCAGTAAGTAAAGGATCTTTATTGGCTAGCTCGGCTAGCTCGAGCTAGGGCCCTCGTCCAGCTCATCGACACAGTGGCAACCTTCTCAGAACAAGCGGCCCCGAGTCTCAAAAGTGAGGAGGTTTTAGGCCATAACATTATATAACAGGGGATTTTTGCGGACCACCCTTATGCCCACAGTCTGAGGGACTTTCCACAACTTGTACTTAGCTGATTGGTTCTAAGTTGGAGTTAAGTAACGGTCGCATAAGAGTTTGATGAGGGCTATATAGGGTGCCTTCCCTACTGACATCTGACTGGTAACCTTCGTTGACCTCACCATGGCTATCTCACTTTGGGGAAATCGTGACTCAATTCCAGGTATCAGTGCTCAGTTCCAGGAATTCTGGAAGTGAAACCTAGGCCGAGCTTCTTCTGGCTTCTTTATGAGCTGCCTTTGCTTCTCTGTCTCTCAGAGCGTGGTCTCAAAAGATTTTAAGATTATGGGAAAGTAGGCTGGAGAGATTGTACAGGCAGTAGGATGCTTTCTTGCCTTGCAGGCAGCCAACACCAGTCAGATACACCATTGATGAGCCTCAGAACACCACCAGGAGAGACCCCTGAGCACCTCTGTGTGTGTGTCCCCCGCCACCACAAAAAAGTAAATAAATAGAGGAACCTTTGGCCAGCTGTCCTAGGCTCAGAGAGCACGGCTCGTGGGGAACCTGTGGCAAGAGCCAGGAAGAGAGCACAGCGAGGAGTTGACCCTTGTCAAATCTCCGGCCCCACGTACGGTGTCCTGAGCACTGTTAAGGAGTAAGCCCTGATCAGAGTGAGGAGTAAGTCCCAAACATGTTGGGTATAGTTCAAAAACAGAAAAGGAAGGAAGAGGCAAGGAGGGGGAAGGATGGAGGGAGGGAGGGAAGAACCGCGGGAAGAAGAAGAGAACGAAGGGAGCGGGGGAGACTTCAAATGCCAGAACTTGGCCTGCTTTGGAAGCAGTGGGGATTTACCATAGCTGTAGGAAAGTGGTATGATGCTATTTGCAAATTTGGAGGCTAAGTTTAACCAGTGTGGATAATTAGGTGACATGAAAGGTTAGGTAGGACTCTAACTGAAAATTTTAATAATTGGGATTATAAAGAAATGGACCAAAGAGAAACAGCGGGAGCAAAACGGGGTGTCAGAGAATTAATTTGAGGGAAACATGAAGGAGAAAGAAAAGTCTATAATAGAAATATCTTCTTTGATGGTATTGCATGAGAGAATCTTATTATGTTATAAAGGCTTTAAAAAAGTTTTATATCTGGGGCTGGAGCAATGGCACAGCGGGTAGGGCGTTTGCCTTGCACGCGGCCGACCCGGGTTCAATTCCCAGCATCCCATATGCTCCCCTGAGCACCGCCAGGGGTAATTCCTGAGCGCAGAGCCAGGAGTAACCCCTGTGCATCGCTGGGTGTGACCCAAAAAGCAAAAAAAAACAAAAAAAAGTTTTATATCTTTGTATCTGTGTATACATATATGTACACAGACACACATATACACATATTTTATATCTAAGTTGTCCACGTTATGGTATGTATGCACATACATGTATATTAAATGTAGCAGGCTCTGGAAAATTTAGATCTGGAATTTTTTCAGAATTGGTTATGAATATTATTTTCCATCATTCACCGTAGCACTGTAGCCCTGTCCTCCCATTATTCATCGATGTGCTCAAGCGGGCCCAGTAACATCTCCGTTGTGAGACTTGTTGTTACTGGTTTTGGCACATCAAATACGTCACAGGTAACTTGCCAGGCTTTCCCATGTGGGCAGAATACACTTGGTACTTGCCGGGCTCTCCGAGAGGGGTGGAGGAATCGAACCTGGGTTGGCCGCATGCAAGGCAAACGCCCTACCGCTGTGCTATCGCCCCAGCCTGCCATCATTCACATAAATATAAAAATCAACCCCTTTTTCGAAGAATAAAATGCTAAAAAGTATGTGCATTAAAATTTTTTCTGTAATTGTCATCTAAAGGAGTTGCATTAGTTTTATCTTTCTAATGATGATGAATAAGTTTTTTTTTCCCCCTTTTCAGAGAAGTTGGGGATGGCAGGTCGAGGATGAAAAGGGGTTGGATAGAGAGGAGAGAATGGGCCGGAGAGAGATCGTACAGTTGGCAGGATACTTGCCTTGCACACAGCTGACCAGAGGTTGATCCCCACACCACCTCATGGTCCCCTGCAACCCGCCAGGAGTGATCCCTGGGCGCAGAGCCGTGCATGAGTTCCGAGCACCCGTGGGTGTGGCCCAGAAATTTAGGGGAAAGCACAAGATGATTAAGCTCTTAAGCTCGAAGGCGTTTTGACTCCTAAACCAGCCAGTAATTGAGTATCTGGGAGTGGGGTGCAGGGCGGGGAAAGACCGATAAGAATTGGTAGAGAATTCAGCCATGTGTTTATCTACCTTAGTATTTCATGAACTGCTTAAGAATTTGCATAGGAGCAAGCAAAAAGAAAAGGAAACAATAAGTTAATGCTAATACTTAAGAAATTAGGCCTGAAATGGCTGAGATTAGTACCAGGAATTTTGCTCCATGACTTGAAGGCCAGCCACATGTGCTAGGTGAAAAGGAAGCTCAGATAAAGAAGGGAGCACCAAATAAAGGGTGTTTGGTGACCCTCCCAGGGTGGGAGAAGCATGCTGAAAGTAGACTATAGACCAAACATGATTGCCACTCGATGCCTCTCTTGCAAAACACAGTACCCCAAAGAAGAGAGAACAAGGGGGAATGCCCTGCCACAGCGGCAGGGTGGGACGGGGTGTGGGGGGGGGGGGGCGATGGGGGGTGGGAGGGATGCTGGGACCCGTGGTGGGGGAGGATGGGCACTGGTGGAGGGATGGGTACTTGATCATTGTATAACTGAAACCCAAGTACAAAAATTTATAAGTCTACATGGCACTCAAAAGGAGAGAGAGGGAAATGCCCTGCCACAGAGGCAGGGTGGGATGGGGGCTGGAGCGGGGGAGGGGATGCTGGGATCCGCGGTGGTGGGAAATGCGCACTGGTGGAGGGATGGGTGTTTGATCATTGTATAATCGAAACCCAAGCACAAAAATGTGTAAGTCTACAACTGTACCTCATGGTGCCTCACTATTAAAAAATAAATAAATATAAAAAAAATGTATAAGTCTATAACTGTACCTCATGGTGTCTCACTAATAAAAAAAATGATTAAAAAAATTTCTCATATGTAATTTACTGTACCTATCAACAAAGCATTTCATTTTAAGATTTTGTATTTTATATTTTTTAATTTTTGGTTATTCACATGGAACCTGGAAAAAAAAACCTGCACCCTACTAAAAGTAAACCTTTTAAAAAATATATTAAAAAAAAAGAAATTAGGCCTGAAAAATTTTCCTTCAAGCTGCTTTTCTTGTAAGCAATTTTGTATGCTATTGAGTATATATGGCATCCCCCAATAGTATGTATTTATTTGCATAATCTGTCTGAAATTTAATAATAAGAGTATTTTTGTGGAGGGGTGGTTTTTGGTTTTGTTTTGTTTTGTTCTGGGGTCATACCTGTCCAAGGTCGGGTTCCTCCTGGCTCTGCACTCAAGAATTACTTCTGGTGGTGCCCAAGGGACTCTATGGGATGCCAGCGGTGATGCCGGGGATTGAACTCGGGTTAGCCACGTGCAAGGCAGGCGCCCTCCCCGCTGTACTATCGCCCAGGCAAGTAAAAAAGATTCGAAATATAAAGGGTAATTAGAAAATTGGAAATAGGCATGGTGTATGTACAAAATTATTTAGTCCTTGAAATTTCTGGATCTTAATGATGCTCTGGGCATCTGCAAAGTGATGGAACAGTATATTAGGTTTCACAAATCTGAACCCCTTGGGGGCGGAACCTCCAACTTTCTCGGTCTGGTTTTCATTTGCTTTTGGTCACACGCCTTGGATCTCAGAGGCCACTGCTGACCCCGGCCAGGCTCTGGGTTGCTCCAGGGAGCACTGGGGGGCACTGGGAACCGTAGAAACTGAGGGCCTCTCGCATGTCCAGCAGGTACACTCACTCTTGGGGCTCT